ATTTACATTTAAACTTACTTTCGATTCCATAAATACACGCAATATATTCCCCGCTAACAGAAACAGAGAGGCTCAACTGGAAGTGCCTCCACCAGGCCCACAACTTGCATAGCCACACTCAATCAAACACTATCCACATATATAATGATAAGCCAATATATGACATAGTCCTGACAGTATGGTGACCAATTTGCAACGATAGTACGAATGATTTCCTCCGCTCTGCGTAATTGTTGGAGTCATCTGCCACTGCTTGATTTAACGACAATGTCTCCACTATTACCATCTTCAAATAATTTGACCTGCTTCCTGACGTTTTCACACGTTAAATTCACACGCCTTTTGTTAGACGGTCATATGTTGTTAGTTGATGAACAAATATGGTTAATTACCATCAGGATGTTCCTCGTACATGAGAGACTTGTTTAGCATTCGAGCCAGTTAAGGTTTCCAGCCTGTGCCTCAGACAAGGTACCGTTAGCTTAAGCATGCTGTACTTTTAAAACAATGCAACCGACAAATTTGTAGTGCAATACATAGTAAATATATTACAACACATGTGAACAGAATAATGGATATGCTACAGCCAGCTTAAATTAGTTTCAGTATTTTTCACATTTCTGAGAAATCTAAGGCACAAATATTCTTCGATACATAAGAGGTGGTAAAACCGTTCCGAGTAAGGCAAATTAAAAAGTTAAGTCTTAAAATCAGTGGTCTCAGTGGCATTTCCTCTCAAAAGTGTCAACAATTTTCCTTTACTCACAAAAACATCAACCTTCATCTCATGATTTCATGAGATTCCGAACTTGGGATGTTTTTTTCCAATTCCTTATCGAGTTAAAAAATTCCACTATATCTCAATATATTTTCACTTGATTCTGATGTGATCTGTGCACGATTAAAAATAAATATACTGTCTGGGACTGCACTGGTGTACAGGCACAAACAAAAAGAGATGACCATCATCAACACTGTACAGTAGTTTAAATGTAATCTGGAGGTTAACATTTTTGGCAGCCGCTTACTTTTTATGATAAACATCATGCAATAATAATGGTGGTCAGATTATTTTGTCATGCACATTTGTACAATTTTGCACACGGACAACTACAATTCTGCAATTCTCATCAAATGTCTGACTGCAGGAACACTTGAGTCTCAATACTCATTTTCATTTGGTATTTTCCCAACAATTCTCCCAAAATGTGCAACCAACATTTTTTCAAGATTAGAAGAATCCACTCGGATCTCTCGGTCCTTTAAAGTGACCTCTGGTCAACAGAGTAGGGGACAGAGTAATGCTCATCGCATGACAGTAAAACCAATAATCAGCTCAGTGCTGGCATTCAACGTTAAGTGCAGAATTTAATTTACCGTGCTGTTTTTTTGTGTGCAATTAGTGGTGACTGGGCGAAGACTACCAGTTTATTGCACTTTGATTTAATGGTGGCAGCTGCCTAGAATCGAAAATAGGTTCACAACGGTTCCAGCCCAGCACTATCACCTGTGAGCCACCTTTCCACGTCTACACATTTATAATGTGTTCTTGCTTGCATCAGTGGTAGATCCAGAGGGGTGGCACCTTGAAAACCCTAAAATCTGATGAGTATTTTATTGATATTTACCAGTAAAAGTAAATAGATTTCATTATTACTATGATCAATTTAGGGCCCATTTAAAAAATCTTGAAATTTCAGAACCACCTCTCCCTTGCCAAGTTTCTCGATCCACCTCTTTTGCTTGCAATGAGTGCCGTGTGCTAATGCTGGCACAATTGACCGCGATTGCACCACGACCCTCGCACGTTGAACGCCGATGCTTGGCTTGTCCAACTCCACCAGCGCTAGGACAGCAGGGGTCTGGTGGCCTCCTCCACATCGCCGAGCAGCTCTTCTGTCTGGCGGTGCCTGCAGAGAACGTGGTAACAGAAGCGGACACGGGATGTGTGAAATGCACTCTCAACAACGTGAGCGTGGTGCAACTTGGTTATTCACAGGGCTTAATTGTTCACCGAATATTTTTTGCAGGTTTGCTGGTAGACCGGAGTAGGTAGAGAACTAGTAGCCACAGCTATAGCTGAGAGGTATACCGGATATGGTGTACCCAGTGGGGACATATTTTAAGGGTATAGTGCCCATTCCCATTGGCAGATGTCAGCCAGTGGTGAAAATTCCACATTTTTTCACAATGGGGGCAGTCTCTATGTAATTTGGATACATGTGTAATGTCGCTCTCAGAGACACCGTCTTGTTCAGTTATATGTACATTGTGTATAAAGTCCACCGACTCACTGATAACTGAACGAGTAACCGCGAGTGACGATATACACCTGGGTAACTTGTGACTACGATACGCTCCTGTGTAGTTGGCTGGCTACACAGGAGCGGACGTGGCTGGGAAATTAAATAAAAACCCTGTGATAGCAGGCCGGCATGGTCAGACCACTGTGCAAATACCTGTTTTCACTGATGCACTCGTAGCTGTAAAATGCAAGCATGAGGAATGCCTGGAATAGAATAATTGAAAAGAGTGTTACAATCACAGACAGACCACAGTGATGTACTACAAAGTGTAGCCAGTTGTGTGTTGTTCACGACAGCCCGAGTAACGTCTCAACAGTTTCCTTTACTGTTGCCAACTTGGTGGGGAAATGAACTCATCCAGCCCAGTCCTCACCCACCCATTGCATTTACATCTCAAAACTACACGCTGACTCACGGGTAAGGCATTACGTGAAAGAACATATTGAATCGCACTGTGTAACAGTTTATTTTTTATTTTTTGTTCCTGGGTAGTGTTATTTCCTAATTGCTTATGCCTCAAAGGTACATAAAATGGCTATTATTCCCCACGAACTTTGCTTTTGTGACCTGGACAGTGATATTTTGAAATTTACCTATTTTCCTGAACATTCCAGATCTATTCAATGCTGAGTAAACTTGGAGTAACTTCTAGAATAGTCTACAAGTTTCCAGTAATATGCAAGCATCCGGCAGACGCATTTTGCCATGAAGTTCGCTATCACAAGAATTTGGCGGGAACCCACTGACCACTCAAGCAACTGCTACTTCTGCATGGTGGACCCTTCCAAACGTCGGACTGGCAAAAATGCACCTGCTATCACGTATCCGGACCTTCCTTCATCCATCGCCCCGGTGCCACACTGCCATGAGCTCCCCGTACCCACTCCTCCGGAGAGAGAGCAGCCGTCTTTAGAAGAGAGCAGCAAGTCAGAGAGCGAGGAAGACGTTGTAGATCCAGATGACAATTTCAGAGGTGGAGCTGAGGAGAGAAACCCATACTACCCCAACCAAAAAGACCTCAACGACTTGATCAGAGATCTTGGTCTCACCAAGTCCAATGCCGAGCTTTTGACGTCTAGGCTCAAGCAGTGGAACTTGTTGGATGAAAGTGTGCAAGTCGCAGATCAGAGGAAGCGTCACCAACCTTTTTGCAGCTTCTTCACCCGTCAAGATGGGCTCTGCTTCTGCCACAATGTGACCAGTCTGTTCGAGGCAATCGGAATCGCCTGTAACCAGAATGAGTGGCGCCTCTTCATTGACAGCTCATCCAGGAGCCTCAAAGCCGTGCTGCTCCATAATGGTAACAAGTACCCGTCTCTTCCCCTGGCTCACTCGGTGCACCTCAAAGAGGATTACAACAGCATCAAGACCTTGCTGGACGCCTTGAAGTATGATGAGTACGGCTGGGAGGTCATCGGAGACTTCAAAATGGTGGCATTCCTGATGGGTCTCCAAGGCGGTTTTACCAAGTTTCCCTGCTATCTTTGCCTTTGGGACAGCAGGGACACCAAGGCGCACTACCACAGGGGGAACTGGCCACAGCGGACCGAGTTCTCTGTGGGGAGGAACAACGTCAAGTGGGAGCCACTGGTGGACCCCCGGAAGGTGCTGATGCCACCACTGCACATCAAATTGGGCCTTATGAAACAATTTGTCAGAGCTGTCGATAAGGAGTCGGCAGCCTTCAAGTACCTTCAAGACTTCTTCCCTAAGCTGTCTGAGGCAAAGGTCAAAGCCGGTGTCTTCGTCGGACCACAGATAAAGAAGATCCTGGAGTGCAATGAATTCCCCAAGAAGCTCACTAGTAAAGAGAAAGTGGCTTGGAACAGCTTTGTCGCAGTGGTTCGTGGCTTCCTGGGCAATCACAAGGTCGAAAACTATGTGGAGCTGGTTGAGACTCTGGTGAAGAACTACGGCACAATGGGCTGTAGGATGTCCCTCAAAGTCCATATCCTTGATGCTCATCTTGATCAATTCAAGGAGAACATGGGAGCATACTCAGAGGTCCAGGTCCACGTGTTGGAGACTCTGTAGGATGTAGAACGTAGATTCTTCTGGATGAAAAAGAGCAGCCGGTCCCTCTTGGCGTGGCTGACTCCACTGGCTCCACCCTTAGCCACGCCCACCTTCGAGAACCCTCGAGCAGGATCTCGGCCCTGACACGTGACCACCCCGAGCCCCCACCTGGAGGCCCTGTGTAGACTTAACCGGTCACGTGTCCTCTGGGGTGAACCAGAGTGCCACGGCCTATCGTAACCCAATTCCCTGTGGCCGACACTCTCCCTCCCTATCCTGTAGGGGTCGGCACTGCATGCAGAGCGTGGTGCCATCAAGCGCTGTCAGTCAGCGCTCAATAGGCCCCTCCAGGGCCGGTACTGCAGCCACATGTGAGTGGTGCCCGAGATGTCAATACACCGCACGCCGTGCCTCTCTAGGGCCGGCATTACACAGTGACATCCGCGATGTCACTACACATGTGGGAGGATACCAGAGGCCCAGGATAAAATCCATGTTTGCGAGAGGGCAACCCTCTATACCAGTGGTCTTCATTAATTTTCCCTTTCGCCAATAAGACATCATCAGTGTGAGGGCCGCAACACATTTCAAAGCATTGGGGTTTGACAGCAGCACGATGATGATGGGGAGGTGTTTTCACTTTTGTGTATTGTCGTGGGCCTCACGTCAGGGGCCACACTAAAGACCACCAGGTGCCACCAGTGGCCCACGGACCTTTAAAAGGAGAAAACTGTTTATATCATACAGAGCGGACAGTTGGTATCAATGCACACTTTGCTGTACCTCAACCTGCTGGCAAGCCACGGTATTGCACCTCGATGCCTCAAGGAAGTCTCGCAACATTTTGTCATTTGATCCTTATGGCGGTACCCCGGGGTACCAATAATACAAAATGGCCGAGGCAATTCAATATTTTATTTCTGGGACACCATTTTTTTCCAGGGGTGTACTTCACTCCGCGACGGGGTACCAATCAATCCGAAATCAGTGGTGCTACTCCACGATGTCGAAACGCAGCGAGGACGATTGCGCTGAAACCCTGAACGTTCGTACGCACCATAGTGCCTCGTGTACAGCACGTCGAGATGAGTCGATTGCCGCATCGCCGACAATCAACAGACTAAAGATGACTGCATCACGGACATTATGCGAGAGCCAGGGTACTATGGTACCCTGGGGTACCGCCATAAGGTTCATTTGTCCGATCCACCAACCCTCGCTGCCTCCGCAGTGCTGGTTTCCTAGCCACGTGCATAGCCACCAGCACCCGGCTGCATAAACCCAGTGACCCGATCCCAACTACAGATAACACCAGTGGCGAGGGATATCTTACCTGGCCCCATCGTTTATCCAACCTGTACTGACCAGCATGAAGTATGGTCAAACAACCCCCATGAACGACACGACATGGGGAGGCCTTCATCCAGCAGTGGATTGACAAAGGCTGTACATTTGTATTACTATTTTACAAAAAATAACTGAGTTTTTAACCTTGGACCGAATGACCAGCTGTTCCATCCACATTCGGGCCATCTATACAGCATTATGCATTTCTGAATCTCTTCTAAGTCAATAAAACATTTCTAATAATATTTGGAAAGCAATTAATTAAATGCACACTCATTTGATAAACTGTCCACTGACTGGCACCATTCATTCACAGAGGTGCGATGGTGGCTGCTCTCAGATGTTCCGTGCAAGTCTGGAGTGATGTCCCCCCACCGGTGGCTCACCGCAAGGATTAAGAGCAGCCCCTCCATGGTGGCGGCCCACTTGAAGTTCACGTAGTCATCGAGGAGTCCGCCCAGCGTGGGACCTATGAAGCTCCTGAGGTCCACACGGAAGGCAGCCGTCACTGCACAACGCGCATCTGAGATTTTAATTTCATGGAATACCTTAACGCAGATACTCCACGTCACGGAACTTTCTGGAAAATAGAACGGTTGTCATTAAGTAAGCTACGGTTCAATGTGCCTAGGAGCATATCCACCACAGAGTTGGAGCAATGGAATCAGCTCGTTTGTCAGTGATAGGTTCATTGTTGTATCGCAGGACCGCGAAAGATGGCGAAGGCTCGAAGTGTCTTTCATTAAACCGCAAACTGACCATGAATGACGACGACGATGTACGTATGAATGGTGAACCACTTTCGCGCCGTATGTCGCCAACCGTGATAATTTGAGGTGTAGGAGGACAACAAACTAAACACAAAAAGCAGTTGTAAAGAAATTATTGAATCTAGATGCACGATATGTTGCATTTCAGGCGTTGAAATTTGTCTGTACTCCCCATTTTGGAATATTTATATTTTATTACTGTCCCGTCTTCCTCGATGGTGTACTACCAGTCGTATTTGTACTGTCTGTACTCTGCCAACTCGTGTCTTGTTTGTGCAATCCCTTTAATTCTGACCATCAGCCTAATGGAAGAGTTTGAGTTAAATAAAATCAACTATTACGTGCACAATGGGTAGTATAATAAGTGTAAGGATATATTTTTATAAATGAACACCTACCTACCTAGAAATGTCTCCCTGGGAACCCTCACCTAATCTCAAGACTCTTCTTCAAGGAGGTTCTGCATGGCAGAGTGGACTTTCCTTTGGGGATTTCTTTGCACTTTGTGGTGGCCCCTGAAGCAGACCCCTTGGCCCCTAATGATGCCAGTGGACCCCTGTGGGCAGCACTCAAGCATGGATGGCAATGAATGGGCCCTGGTGCAAAGAATGGAACCGCGCCCTGTCAACTTTCCTGCCTTATTCGTAGCCTGGCACTGGGCCCCCAGTGCAGACTCAAGGGGAAGTCCACGACCTACGAGTCGATAGAGCCGGGTTGAGAAGCCCTGGTCAATGCCACGACCTACGAGTCGATAGAGCCGGGTTGAGAAGCCCTGGTCAATGCCACGACCTACGAGTCGATAGAGCCGGGTTGAGAAGCCCTGGTCAATGCCACGACCTACGAGTCGATAGAGCCGGGTTGAGAATCCCTGATCAATGCCACGACCTACAAGTTTCTAGAGCTGAGATGAGAAGCTCTGAGCAATGCCACTACCTCCGAGTCCATACAGCCCCGTTGACAAGCCCTGCTGGAGTGAACGTTTACCCTTCACGCTAGCGCAGCCCTGTGTAACCTGCTAACTCGGGAAATATGCTTCTGATTCCGATGTTGGCCATACTCACCCGAAAGACATCAAGCCATTGCAGATACCGGACACCAACCCCAGCGTGCCCAGCCCCACTTCAAAGCCATTGTTACTGAAAGCAAAATAATCGGTGAGAGTAAAACAACGGTCGGTGTTATTGCCTATTTTTTTGTCAGTATAATAATTGTAAATATTGCATCGCCAGCATAGTGGTGCACAACTACAGGGTTGGTGGGCCACGTAGAGATTTGTGAAACTCAAACCCACTGGGCTGCACCGTGCCCAGATGGCAAATAAATTGGACTTACGTGGCCATGAGGAGGATCTCCGAAAATGTGGGGACGATGGCTGTGGCGATGGAAACACCCAGCACGGCCAGGACCACCACCACGAGCCACAGCTGACTGATGCCACCACAACATCACCATAATGGTAAATCACAACACAACATAAAGCACCAAGGCAAGAACACAACAGCATCATAGCAAGAATACTACAAGAGCACCACAGCAATAGTATAATGGTACCACCACGTAAAACAAGTGAAGAGCACGACAACATCGTGATCGCAACAGCTGCATAGCTGTTGTGGTAGCTCAGGCAACTGCAGCCCACATATCCGATTTGGAAACCAGAAAAAAAATCAGTTTTTGTCTTTCCACTATCAGGTGCCATGTGCAGGTGGTGTAGTGACTGACGTCATCCTCACGTGTGGATGTGCAGGATGGGAACAGGGCCCAACAAGCAGAAGCAGATACCGGATACAAAAGCTCCAGCCAGCATCATGCATCTCATCCATTGCTGCAAAATAAACAACAAAGTCAAAAGGAAGGGTGACACAAATAGGCTCACACAACCAAACGCTTGTGCGTTCCCATCCCGGTCAGGGATCAACTCAGCTCATCATCATTCGCCTGTGGTGGTTGATAAAATAGGTACTAATTTTGGGAAGTCAACGGTGGTTGTCCTAACGACTCCTGTCATAAAAATGTTGAAATTTTATTATTGACCCAGAGCTGGCATCTAAGATGGGCAATGCCCAACACTTGTTTGCTCCCAGGGACACTTGTGATCACCCCATGATTAAAGGGATAATTTTTCCAATGATAAATGTGATCCAAAATAACTGCAATTCTGCATCAACATGATGTCTGACAACGCAGGGGCACCTCACTTGAGTCTGAATAATGCTTTAAATTGTGCTTAACTTTTTTAGTGTACAGTGCCCCAAAAGAAGCAATATAAGCTTGGGGCGACAGTCAAACTCCGCATCACAGCAGATAAGCGCTTTAACCAGGATCTCAACAGTGCTCGCACAAAGCACTCTCAAGGGCAGTTTTTAAGCCACCCAGCCATCTTAAATTGGGGCTTTACTATGCTAAAGATGGTCACTGCATTGTGTGCTTCCAGATGCGCTTCTGCAGCCGTCTGGAATGCTCTTGCTTCCGATACGATTAGCAGGGTCGGCTAAAGCAGAAGTTCAACATCCACACCTTGCTGTGGGACGGTGTAAACCGCCTTTATTTTACCGAGTCATTTACGCAAGGCAGGAAAGCGCTCCAGAGGGTCATCAACACAGCCCAAAAGATCGCCGGCTGCCATCTCCCCACACTGGAAGAACTACACAGTTCACGTTGCATCAAAAAAGCACAGAACATTATAAAGGACTCTTCTCACCCTGGACACTCACTGTTTGAGCTGTTGCCATCAGGCAGACGATTCAGATCAGTCAAAACAAGGACAAACAGATTCAAACAGAGCTTTTATCCTACAGCGATCACCACACTCAATAATGCTAATTAATTATTAAGTAATAGCGTTTACAATTGACTGTGAAATAGAGATGTGCAATGACAAAATGTAACCTTATGTGGGTATGTGGGTATACTTGGGCTGTTTTTATATATAGTATAAATTGATTATCTTTCATTTAATTTTATTTTTATTTTCTTGTTTTATTTAATTTAAATTTATGAATGAGGCCCTGACTGGTGAGCATTTTAAATTTCGTTGTACTGGTGACAATGACAATAAACGATCTATCTATCTATTTAGACCGCACGCGGGTGTTGAGATGGTGAATGATGGTCAGTGGCTGTGCACGCAAACTTGTCTCTGTAAAAGAACTGTCCGGAAGAGCCGAGTGGAGTGGCTCGTTGTGCGTCCTCACAGGTCTGCGGTCGCTGACGTAGCCCACGACAGGACAGCTCACAGAGTATGAGATGCACAGGCTCATGAAGACGAGTCCAATCTTCCCAGAGCTCAGATTGAACTGTGAAAGGCAACAACAATGGGAACTTCTGGAGACGTGATTAAATACCAAATCACAATTTTAGACTGGAGAAATCCGATGAGCTATGAAGTTCTTTTTCACAGATGTTGAGTATGATGTCACCGGATAGAAGCTCTCAGCCATACCAACATGAACTAATTCCCATTTAATCACATTTCACTACACATATTTCTCGTTTCTTATTAAACATACCCCATTTCATTCACTTACCATTTAATTACCGATAAATCACAGAGGCAGCACACATTAATTTTGAGTGCAAGTTTCCGCAACAAATGTTTCGGGACCGAGTGTTCCTGCATTATTGTCACGTATAACTTTAAGTTGTAGAGCGGTATTTGCGTAATGGACCACACTCTGCTGAATATACTCGGTGAAGGTGAAACCTCTGCAGCGTTTGCTACTAGAAGAATCTGAATGCTTGGATGCTGAAGAAAAATTTGTTCACAGACGCATTATTTGTTTTCAAATTTGAAGATAAAAACTAAGCCTATGACCAAATCACCAAATCACCCAGAATTTGCTTGACCTCCTCAAATCTCAGAAGCTAAACCGGTTTGAGCCTGGCTCATGGCTAGCCACCATTGTTGTCATAGGCTGCTCAGGGACTACGCGGTGGGCAGCAGAGGGCCAGGAGAGCAACATCCACCATTGTACTTGATTGTCATAGGGGCCGTCCATAAATGACGTCACGCGATTTTGGACGATTTTTGACCCACCCTCAAATATGACGGCACAAATTTCTGCCCCCCCCCCCCAAAAAAATATAGAAAACATGCTTCAAATCGCTTTAAACTATTGTCATTGTAGTGCGTATTTAATGTGGTGCTGCACTCTGATGTTGTAGGAGAAAACATTTATTAAAAAGTCTATTTAATTAAGTAGAACGTGTTGTCTATATTTATTTAAAGTTTTTATGTGACGTCACATTTCTCAAACCCCCCCCCATCGTCAGGCGGACTGCATTCCACCAAATGTTCAGGAGCTGAAGCGGCGTGTTCTCACCTGCTCAAAGAGGAACAGCGAGATGTTGGGATCGAAAAATCCCATCGATGAGTCCACGCAGCAGATGAGCAATGCCACGACAATCACAGAGGGCAGTGACAAGAGCCGTATGAACGAACCACTGCTCCCCACCAGCACTGTGAGAGAGAGAGAGAGAGACGCGCACTCATTACAAGGCGCCAGTCCCGCAATTGGAATGTACCGCAGTGCGGCGTTTTGGAGAATCATAGCAATACAATATTTCATTGAAAAGTGAGATCACGATCTGACGAGAGGAGATGCGACCAGGCACCTTGCGGAGGCAGAGCGGCGAGGATGACGGGGATGGTGAGCAACATGAAGACGCCGACGATTATGAGAGTCATCCTATAGCCCCACGCCTCGTACAGGAACCCGCCCAGAGGAGGACCCATCACCAAGCCCAGCCCTGCGAGGAGCTCCAGGAAGCCCTGCCGAAGGGGACACCGGTGGGGCTTCTACTCACACGGGGCTATGGCATTGACCACAGAGCTGCACACATGCATGTGATCCGCGTGCGTAACCCTCTCTGACCACATCACCTGGGATGCGCCCGATCTCAGCATAATTGTGAACGTAGCTTCGTAAAAGATGAAAAAATGTCGACGCTTACACAATAACGCCAAAAGAAACGTGTGTAATTTCATCTTCTTGTTTCTTTCGTAAAGTCATGTAGAAGGGAAATAATAAAATAATAAAACATAATAAAATAAAATTATCACGACGTTTTGGCAGCAACACAAGCAGACGTCCTCAGGTGCAGAAACAGAGCTGTCGGAAAAACAGCTCTGTTTCTTCACCTGAGGACAGCTGCTTGTGTTGTTGTCGAAACGTCGTGATAATTTTATCTTGTTTAATTTTTATTATTTTATTAATTCCATCTACGTGACTTTATCGAAATAACCAAGAATATGAATCCCTGCAGTCACAAAAGCTTTAAATCTAAACGTGTGTAATTTGTTTAATATTCATGGCCATCTTCAACATTCATGGCGATTACAACACTTGCGTTTGTCCCTTGTGAGCCCTAAACCGACAAGGTTGAGTCTGAAACGGGATTATTTGGCGCTCACGATGGTCGTGGAGATGTTGTGCGGGAACATCGACATCAAGATGGTGAAGGACGCAGTCATGGAGGCAGCACAGCCCACGGCGTCCACGCCGTGCAGCAGGAAGCACAGGGCGATGAAGATCCTGCCGCTCGGGGCCTCGTCAAGGAGTCTGCACGCAGACGCAGAGGATTCGTTATGGACTGCTTTTTGTTTTTTTTTCGATTTAAAACTTTCGTGACTGCAGGGATTCATCTTCTTGGTGCTTTCGGTAAAGTCACGTAGAAGGGAAATAATAAAATAATAAAAATAAAACATAATAAAATAATTCTCACGACGTTTCGGCCACAACGCAAGCAGCAAGCAATGCAAGCAGCCGTCTTCAGGTAGAGGCTGCTTGCGTTGTGGCAGAAACGTTGTGAGAGTTATTTTATAATGTTTTATTTTTATTATTTTATTATTTTCCTTCTATGTAACTTTACCGAAAGAACCAAGAAGATGAACTGCTTTTTGTGTTTAGTTTGTGGTTCTTCCCCTGCACCTCCGATTAGCACAGTTGGCTATGTACGGTGCAAACGAAGTTCAAGGTACATACATACATGGCAACGGGACCAAAGGCCCCCTGTCCAATTTCCCCTCCTCTCCACAGCCAGGGATGTGGGTCTCCAAGGCCCGTGATGCCTGGTGCCTGGTACAAGTTGAAACCCCTGCACACTCGATAGCTACGTCAAGGAGGGGACCCAGCTTCATAGGAAAATGTAAATGTTGAAGATGACGTCACCCTGCTGCTGCTCTATTTAAGACAGGAAGCAACAGGTGAGCTTCACCATTCTTGCCCGATGAAGCTGATTGTAATTATCAGCGAAACGTCGTACTCAAATTTTAAAATGCTGTTGATTCTCTCTTCAGCACACCGGTGGGCTAAAGAAGTGAATTATTATGTCCTTTGAAAAACGTGACATTTTTTACTGTTTGGCCATGTCAGGTGGTGGAGGGTTACGACACATTTATAAATAACGCGATCTTACCTAAAAACCTATATTATTAATAATATTGGTCGTGAAAGCCTGCCACGTGTAAAACTCACCCAAACAGAATTGTGCAGGTTCCAGAGGCCAGCAGTCCTGAGAGAAACGTGAACTTGACTCCAATCTTAACCATCTGTCAACAGAGTATATGTATGTTAAATATATCGACATTCTCTGTCCACATAGCATCACCATTCAAGTTTTTTTTATATCGCCTGACCTGCAATTGTTAGTCTTGTTCCATTGAAAAGTGTGTAAATCATTAAATGCATGCTTAGAATGCTTAAAATTACAATGAGCAAAAGGGAAACATATTGATTCGGGAACATACACAGCTTAAAAACAAATTCAAACAGTTCAAAAGAGTAAGTCTGTTGGGGTTAGATATGTCGCTGGAAGAGATGAAGGCCGATGATCAAGCATGGCAGAGTGGATGGAGTGGTAGCCAAGGAATGGAACGCATTCAAGTGGACATCCACCCAGGAGATGGAGTGATCGATTCAGTCCATGTCCAGGTGTTGGGCAAATTATGACATCGGAGGTTTCGGAGAAATGATGGTGGCTTGCGTAGGCCTATCATCCAGCTGTCGACTGACCATGGCTGATGATGAGAATGATTATTTGGGAGTTAAATTTCGATTTAAAGCTTTCGTGACTGGAGGGATTCATCTTCTTGGTTCTTTCGGTAAAGTCACGTAGATGGGAAATAATAAAATAATACAAATAAAACATGTTCTTCACCTGAGGACGGCTGCTTGCGTTGTGGCCGAAACGTCGTGAGAATGATTTTATTATGTTTATTTTTATTATTTTATTATTTCCATTCTACGTGACTTTACCGAAAGAACCAAGAATATGAATCCCTGCAGTCACGAAAACTTGAAATCAAAATGCAAGTGTTGTAATCGCCATGAATGTTGAAGATGGCCATGAATATAAAAAAATTACACACGTTTAGATTTAAAGCTTTTGTGACTGCAGGGATTCATATTCTTGGTTCTTTGGTAAAGTCACGTAGATGGGAAATAATAAAATAATACAAATAAAACAATAAAATAAAATTATCATGACGTTTCGGCAACAACACAAGCAGCCGTCCTCAGGTGAAGAAACAGAGCTGTCTTTCCGACAGCTCTGTTTCTTCTTGGGGGTTGTGTAGAGTATTTTTTCTAGTACGTTTTCAAAATGGTTGCTGCAAACATTTACACCTCATTTTAATGACGCAATTCAAAACACTGCGGCAAATAACGATTACTCACGTATTTTCCCAACAGAAGAGAAAAGAGGAGCTGAACGAGGGAAAACACTCCAAATATCAGTCCCACCACCGTTTCGCTGGCTCCTTTCTTAGCAGCCTAGGAAGATAGAGCCACGCATCAGCTTGATATTGTAGCCATGGTCATAGTCATTGTGATAAAATAACCTCATGCATCACCACCGATAACCCCCTTGTAGCGTATAATTGTATGAAAATTAAATTCACTTGCATACTGTTACGTCATATGTGCAGTATATCGAGCAGGCAAATAGCAGGGCTGCAGTTCTGAATCACAGAAGTCAGAGCACTTAGCTGGTACTCCCGAGATGTTGTGTTTGATTCTCAAGCGTAGTGTAGCAAGTAGGTCGTCTGAACCAGGTCACGATTGATTGCACAAAATCGCCACCAAAATCAAGTTGGTTTTCGACTCAAATTGACTACATTACAATGCAGTCACATTAAATGTGATATTGCACTGGCTAAATTCAGGTTCTGAGAATAAAAATATCGTTTGTCTGTCATTCAACAATCTCATAGCAGAGTGTGTGGAACAGTTTGACTTCTGTGTAAATGGTAAAAGGTCGCTTGAAGGACATTTCATCTTCCGCAGATATTCTCCGACAGAGGAGGCATACTGCTCTAAGAAATGTATGGACTCGGATTTTTCGACATTTTGAAAAAAAAAGTTTTGTTTTTCTAAAATAAAAAAATGTATGTAAATTTAAATATTCATGCAAGGTGCCACTTTTTACAGCACGTACCTCCTCAGGAAAGAATGGGACCAGGACCGAGTTGGTCATCATGGAGGTGAACTCCACGCTGGCGATGGAGATCAATGTAAAGTACTCAGCCCTTGTAAAGCTGCGTCTGGGGCCACCTGACCCCTCTTCTTCTTGGAGCTGATTCCATCGGAGCGAGGCTGCCCGTTCGAATGACCTGGCGCATTTCCACATTCCAAGTCGTATTTTTCCTAGGAATTGAGGCGCCGGCTCTAGTTGCATCACCGTGTACATCAAGGTCGTCTTCACCATCAGCCATTCCCCTTTTGAAAAACAAGCAGCACGTAAAGATGTTAATGCACTCACTGCAATTATTTGCTCATATTGATGGTATGTGCAGTGTCGCCATGGTGCAATGGTTATCAAACTGCCCATGCAATACAGAGGTCTCTGATTTGATCTCCTGGTGCGGCAATTTAATTTGGCACATTAAAAAAAAAACCACCATGTCTGTCGACCCAGCAGTATAAACTCTGGCTTTCGCCTGATGATGCTGGTTGTAATTACCGGCGAAACGTCGTACATTTATGGGATCTACCCCAATAAACATATATTATGGATAGTGGCCATGAAAGCCTATGTGTTAAAACAGCATAAACGGGGTCCACAAGCACATTGCATGTGGTAGGGTAAAGTGTGTGTACTCCCATCTCTTTGGAGACATCTGGTCACCATAGAAGGGTAGGAAAAGTAACTTCAAGAGGGAGTCTCTTGAGTTTCCTTTAGTCGAAGCCCTTCCAACAGCAGTGGCGTGACCAAGCAATTGCGTGGCTCCACTTTTACTTTTTCTTCACGCATGGAGGTGTGAGTAGTCAAGAGGGCCAATGTCCAGTGGCCAAGGGGGACCATTACATTTATTACTATTTTTTGTTTTACCAGATAAGGCCCGCTGAGCTATATAGCTCTTTTTGAGAAGCGACCTTGCCACAAATGATAGCTCAACGAAGTGGCTTGTCACGTGGAAATTTATAAACAGCCAACTGCTTTAAATGTACATTTCTAAATGTCGCGGGAAAAACCGGAGGACCTGGAGAAAAATCCACACCGCCATGGGGAGAACATGCAAACTCCAAACATACAGGCGTCAGGAAACAGGATTGAACCCATGCCCTCCTGCATACCACCAGGCGAGGTAGATAACATCTCGCCACTGTGGCGCCCCATTGTACGGACACAGCCAATGACTTTCTGGGCGGAATAGGACGTTGAAAGCAAAATATTGAATTTTCGAGAAGTTTTAATTAAACAAAGATGTTCACTAAAAGATCAGAACGAAATCATTAATAACCCAGAATTTAAGTCAATTACAGTGATTACAGAAAGGAGCAATGCAATTGTAAAAGCAATGTTTGTTTATGACTGAAACAATGACTAAAATCCAATAGTCACCGTAAATGTATGTTACTTTCCAGGGTATATATATATATTATGAAAATTAATTATTTACGAGAAAATATAAAAGACTGTCAATGCAAGGGTCAACAGTCAACAATAGCAAACTTACTTCTACTTTCCTGAAACATTAACTTTCAGCCTATATGTAGTATACCAATACCCACCGTTCACCACTAAGTGATGGTGCCATCACCACGGCGCCTGTGCCAGGCCAGGTGCACTTTGAGGCCACGTGAAGTGTCGAAGGCTCGCTGATGGGACGTTTTGGGACAGACCTAGGTGCCATGGGTTGGCTGACTGAGATGACCGGTAGTTGCACCAGCTGTACCCCCCACTGTGCCAACTTGCTGCATTTTAGCTGCCCGGCTATAATCTGTAGTATATCAATACATAGATACACCAATATTCTTGGGTCTTTCGGTAAAGTCACGTGGATAGGTTCAAAGGAAATAACAAAAAAAAACGACGACGTTTCGATCGCAACACAAGCGTTCGTCCTGCAGTCACGAAAGCTGTAAGTCATAGATAACACCTGTCAACCACTTTTGGAGAGGGACCAATGTTCTTTGTCTTCATCACAAAGTAAAACAAATTTGGCAATTTTTTCGGTGTTAAAAACTACAACATTGAAAGCTGTGAAAACCTATTCTTATTCTGGAAAAAAAGGTCCCACAGTGCACGTTTGCCTCGGCGATCTCGCGTCTTGCAGCAAGGTGATTAATACACGATCGAGCTGAGAGCAACAACCGAACTGGCTGTGGCCACTCCACGTGTCTGCACCGCTGTGCAGCCATGATCATGACGACAGTAATATAGACACATTCCTGCGGAGGGAGCTGGTAGGAACGTTGGGTTGCTCGGTCAATGGCCAGGGTCAACGGCGGCGTGGTGTATTCCGCAAATATGCCCGACTGTGAGGGCAGGCACAAGCCGGCGTGAGTAGGTTAAACGTTGAGTTTTATAAGGGCACCACGGGGTGACCAGCCCCTCCGCACCCAGCCCCACCCCTCCCACCCCCCACCCCACCCCACCTCCCACCCAGCCCTCCCCACCCTCCCCTCCCAGCCCCACCCTCCCCACCCAGCCCCTCCCTGCACGACGGACGGACACAATAATCCCCTGTGGGCTGGTGTAACCAGGAGGTTCCTACCAGTATCAGAGACTACAGCATACACGCACAAGGTTAGTGTGTAACAAAAAGAGGGGCACACGAATAAAATGTTGATACATACATACCCTTCGGTGACCGTATCGCCCCCACCCGCCTGCCCTCTTTAGGAGCGAGGCGATGTGTTGATTCACAGCGAAGCAGAGTATACAAACTATACAAACTACGTGAAAATGCAACGTTACACTCAATGTCCCGGCTCGCTGTTGCCACTGCGCGCAGTGTTTGTTTCAATCCTCGTGACCAATGGATCACGTTTTTTTTGTTGTCAGCGAGTGGAGGAAATGGGATTTACAGCAAGTGGCCCGTATCACGGTTACATGATGCAACACGATGTAAATCAATAACTGTTGTGTCACGCTGCTGCACAACTTCTCACTGGAGCTGGGTGTACGTTTGAATGTTTTTGTTGTTACGGTGCGAAATTTGATCTCCTTCCGTCAATTCACTGCTGGACGAATGCCTTGTTCCACGCCGTGCCGGTCATTGTAATTTGAAGCATGACCATACTTCGCCACGCCGGTCAATGTGGACTGGGTGCAATAGAAGGGAGGGGGCCCCACGGGCACCAGGCTTGGTTCAGATGCCACTCGCCATGGTACGGTACACGTTGAACTTCTTTCGCACCGCACGTAGCCAAGCGTGTTCATCGGAGGTGCGGGGGACGACGCCAAAAAATTGTGCTACTTATGTTAGCCGCAGCCACGAGTCGGGAAACGAAAAAATTTGATGCAATAGATAACACCACTGCGTCACTGCAATGTACAAATATCACATAAAGGCTTGCGTACTGTAATGTACACTGTTCAAATATAAACAGACTAGCTTCACTACCTGGCTTCGCCTGGGACTTGTATCCACCACGCCCGGCCGCCTTTGTCTCCCCAGTGGCGATGTTAATACGCCACACCAGTTACTCGTTTTGAGGCTGAGTCCCTCCCTCACCACTCTCCCTCCCTCACCACTCTCCCTCCCTCACCACTCTCCCTCCCTCACCACTCTCCCTCCCTCACCACTCTCCCTCCCTCACCACTCTCCCTCCCTCACCACTCTCCCTCCCTCACCACTCTCCCTCCCTCAGCACTCTCCCTCCCTCACCACTCTCCCTCCCTCACCACTCTCCCTCCCTCACCACTCTCCCTCCCTCACCACTCTCCCTCCCTCATTACTCTCCTCCCTCATTACTCTCCCTCCCTCACCACTCTCCCTCCCTCAGCACTCTCCCTCCCTCAGCACTCTCCCTCCCTCACCACTCTCCCTCCCTCACCACTCTCCCTCCCTCAGCACTCTCCCTCCCTCACCACTCTCCCTCCCTGACCACTCTGTAGAGTACGTGAAACTTTGATGAATTTACCTCAGAGTCGCGTGGTGGGTGTCGAGGCCTAGCACCGTGCAGAGCCTCCGGCCTCGCCTGATTTTCCCATCCGGCTGACGCTGGGTACGGGTGCCGTTCCCCCCCCCCCCCGCGCTACAATAATACTGTCTAATCGCTATAATTTTATAATCTACCGACCCTATAATAGTAATTGCACACATTGTGGTGGGGGGGGGAGTGAAGAGGACGTGAAACTTTGATGAATTTACCTCAGAGTCGCGTGTTAATGCGTGCGCCTATTTTTAACGGGAATTAAAAATGGCGTCCACCCCGCGGCGAAGGCGTCGCTACCCGTTGCCAGGGGCAACCGCCGTCCAATGAAAGCGGCGAAGGCGTCGCTACCCGTTGCCAGGGCAACCGCCGTCCAATGAAACTGCAGCCCGCGGCGAAGGCGTCGCTACCCGTTGCCAGGGGCAACCGCCGTCCAATGAAAGCGGCGAAGGCGTTGCTACCCGTTGCCAGGGGCAACCGCCGTCCAATGAAACTGCGTATGGTCCGGCGACACACAGATACACACACAGACAGACAGATTCGCGATTTTATATATATAGATTATTATTATACAGTTTTTTTTACAAGGAGTCATGTTTGCATTGACCACAATACCTGCGGTCGGAATGCAAACAAAAATCACAACTATGATAATGCATGCACTGTCCTTGAAATTGATTGGTCCACACCCGAGACAGCTTTTCTTACAGCCTAATGAGACTAGGTAAAAAAAGGTGTCTGTTTTGTTGCCTAATAAAAGGGTAAGAAACGAATTATCATATTTTGCTACTGGCAAAGGAGGTTCCAATGGTGTATTACTATACAACTTTATCGTACGAGTAGCACTTTCGAAATGTGCGACTCACAAAATCCTGGTCCAAGAAGGGTGGCCCTTAACAACACACGGAGTCCTCATCATCGTCCCTCTCGTGGGCGGATAACATCGGTACAAGTGTGAGGGAAGTGCTCCTCGACGCGTTGCAAGCAGATGCAGCCACGCAAGCGCTCAGAAAAGCAAGCGAAGGATGTACAAGGCTTCACAGATGCGCACTGATCGGGACAAACAGGGTGGCGCAGTGCGAACACTCGTGCCTCATGGTGAGGTCATGGGTTTGATGTCCGACTCGGGCGCCTCTCTGTGGAGTCTGCACGTTCTACCCCCCACCCCCCTGGATCTGCATGGGGTTTCTTTCGGTTATCCGGTTTCTTCACAGAGCTAAAAAGACAAAGACCCCCGTATAGCCTTAACAGACTGTAGGGGCAAGTGCTGTTAGCGAGCACCTTTGAAGGCCGAAATGGCACACGAGGCGGTGGGTGGCCAGCACCACGCCCGACCACCTTTGTCTCCCCAGTGGCGATGTTTACACACCGCACCAGGTACTCATTTGAGGCTGAGTCGACCTAGGGGAGGACCGGACCGGTTCAGATAATCTTCACTGGTGTGGCCATGAGCGGGAATCGAACCCGGGTCGCCGGGTTGAAAGCGCAGCGCGCTAACCGCTGCACCACCGCTCCCCACACAGCTGACAGACACACACACACAGCACGACTGGTGTTGGCCTAAACCTCCCAATGCTGAAAAATTACCTGCAAATTACTCAAGTGGGAATTACACACGGCGGCAGCAGTGGCAGCGGCAGCAGCAACATCGATGCCTGACTCCGGACACTTGGCAGGACCCGCCTGCAAAATAATCTCGACTCAGCGGGGGCTTCCTTGGTTAAACACACGCGTAATAATAATAACGCTTAGATTGCGAAGAAAACACATTTTTTTAGTCAGGCCAGGTCACTCGCTTTCACACCAAGGATACACATGGTAACATATTCGACGTTTTCCCAACAACAACAAATTTTGATTTGACAAGCGTAGTTACGTAATGTGTGTTGAACTTCTTTCGCACCGTACGTAGACACACACACACACACTGCCAATCGGAGGTGCGAAAGCAAAAGGCGTTGAAAAAAAACCCTCAGGACTGTATAAGTAAATGGAGAAATATATCCATTTCACACATTTGCCGAGTCATTAAAACCTTTTGGTTTTAATGATTTAAAGCTTTCGTGACTGCAGGAATCCATACTCTTTGGTTCTTTCGGTAAAGTCACGTAGAAGGGAAGTA